GGGTTTAATATTTTTCCTAGAACTTTTTTTTTTTTTTTTTTTTTTTTTTTTTTTTTTTTTTTTAGATTAAAAAAAAAAAAAAAAAAAAAAAAAAAAAAGAGGCATATGGGGGGTGGGGGGAGTAGGAGTAATAAAGAGTAATATTGAAAGCCAGTGTGAGGCCTAAGCTGTAGCACTTCACATCAGTGTAAAGCTTTCTGATAGAACACGGCTGGAGGTAGGCAAATAATGAATTGTAGTAATCAAGCTGAGAAATTACAAAGGCTTTAATGAAATGTTTCTAGATCTCTGCTGTCGGAGTTGTTTCGGTCTCCTGCTGCTTGGAAGATGGCAGAGAGAGAAATCTGTTACAGCTTGGGGTAGATCTGATGGCCAGGTAGGAAGGTGGGTTTTTTACTTGTAGAGTGAGTCTAATGCTGCAGAGCATGAAGCTGTGGAGTGACAGCCTGGAATCTCTGCAGAGCACTCAAGTTCCAGTCCCACCATTATGCAACCAATATTCATTAAACCTTTCTTAATAGGGACTAATTTGAGGAAAAGAACAGCTAATTCATGGAACCGATACAGTGTCCAATTGTCTCTGACGTGTTTATGGAGGAGTCAAAACAACAGCAAAAAAACCTTTATCAGACAGGAGACCTTAATGCAAGTTGTGATGTGGACTTCTATCAAAGTGCTTGTAAAGGGGCTCTTGGGCCAGTACTAGCTCCGTAGTGAGAAAGGTCCTAGTTACATGACTACCTTCTCTTAAACTAGTTCCCTGCTACTAGTTTCAATTGTTGGTTAAACCATTTCATTCCTACAAGGCTAAATGCCGTGGAACCATGCTTGTAATCAGATGGAGCAAATACTGTACTGTGTTTAACCGTTTTCAGCACCCTCCTTACTTCTTTCATCCTGAAGCGCATTATCAATGAATTTAGAAGCTGAATAAAAGAACTGGCTGAGCTTGAAAGTGGGGAGATCATCTGCTTCCACTCCATGGTACTCCACATTCATGTCGTGGTAATAGTCTGGTCCTGTGTCCACGTTCCGCTGACCGTGGGCTGCGTTGAGGATGTGGGTGAAGCCTGCCTTCTCAAGGCTGTAGCGATCTAATGCAGTTTTCCTGTTAAAATGAGAACCATCATGTAAGTGAAGAAGCTTCTTGCTCAGCCAGCAAGCCAGAAGAAAAATTCTCTCTGATTTGGTATGTTCTAAATATTAACGAAACTGATAATGCTTCAAAAAATGCATCATTTACCATTGTAGAGATCTTAAGATACTGTCATTCAGAGTGGACAGTCCTTCTGGAGTACATAACTATCTCTCCCCAGCTCCTTAGAGCACCTTAAAAATGAATGTCTTTTTCCTGGCACCTTTGTAACGCAGGCAATACTGGTTTCTATCCATCTCATACAAGAAGAAACTTAAGATACCGAAAGAAATAGAATGAATTATTTAAAGTCATAAAAACACATCAGTAGCAGAACTTGAAATAGGACCCATGAATGCTGTTTTCCCCTTCTATCCCATCAATTGATATTGCAGAACTAATAAGAGTCAGTGATATGCGAGTAGTAAAATCATCTGGGGTGCAAAAAGCAGCTCTTTATCCCTAAAAGAAGTTACTGAGTTTTTTCTCCATTTCTATTTTAAAAGATAAAAATAATTCTCAAAAATCACCCTTCTCTGGTCACAACTCCTAACCAGGTTTCCTTTTACTACAATGTTTGATTAAACAAGGTCTAAAGCCAAAAGAACTAGATACGGAAATTGGATAGTAGCCTTCATTGAAAGCTGAAAGTCATATATTTAGCCTCATATTCTAATTTATTCTTGTCCTTTCTTCCCTGAGACAAGGGAAATCAGAAAGGAGAGGAAATCCTAGGTTTTTGTGTGCCCAGTACTCACTCTTAAGTGCTTGCCAGCAGCCTGAAATTCCTCAAAAAGTGCAATTTGTGGACAGACATGTAAGAACTTTTTTGTTCCATTACAGAAAGCTTTTAATTTTGGAAACTTTTGTTCTGGAAAAGCTGTCAAGTTTCATTAGTGCCTAGGAAGACTACTGAGCTCTTTACAAAGAATTGCATAGGCTTTATTCTGTTAATATATTTTCACATAACTACTGCTGCCATAAATGAATTAGTGCATGATGTGAAACAGCTTTTTCCACCCAAAAGTACCTCTTTCCATGAATGTTTCCTGAACATTTCAATGTGTAAATGCAGCTGTTGTCACACAGGACGTTGTGGTGAGCTACCTGTTGTGTTTCATAATTCTAGTGGTGACAGCTCAGAATAGCTTGAAGTTGACTCCACCTTCCCAGCCGCTGTCAAAGTCAAAATCCCCCTTTGAGCAGCCAAGAATGTAGTGATTAGAGCATTTAACTGGGAAATGGATACTGAAGGTCTCACCTATGCTCTTTCTGATTTAAATTAAGCTCATGCTAATTGGCTGTTCTGAGTAGACCATTCTCCCTGCAGAAGTTCCTTTCTGGTCAGGAGTGATAATGTCTCGACACTACTGGCATTTTTACTATGAAATAATGTCATCAGTCACCTATGCGATGATTTAAAAAATGAATAAAACCTCCAGTTAGTGTGGTGATGCCTGCCTAAGCTCAGGGGACTGGAGGACAGAGAAGCAGCAGCATCTTGCTGCTAGTGCTGGGACTCACCACCTTCACCTCAGGTTAAATAATGCTCATATTATGAGCTTCCCTTTGTATTCTTGTAGCAAAATAATTGACCTAGAAAGAGGGGATTTTTTCGCCCTCCTTTTGGAAGACTTGTGCCTTAGGATTCTCTTCAGGTGGATACGTTCTACATACTTTGCCAGCAAAGGCACTGGGTTCTAACTATAAGGATGGCCAGTACTTAAAAACCAGATTAAATATCCCTGCTGAAGAGTAAAGGTGCAGAGGATAATTACTTCTGTTGATTTTGATGCGCTTGAGGTGAACTATATATACTGTTTTCAAATTAAGGCTTCTTTTGTTTTGCCTCCCTGGTGTGGGGATAGAGAAAATATGTTTTCCATTCACCGGACTTGGCCCAAAGCATGTATCCAACAAACCATGAAAGACTGATGGTTTCAGGTCAGAGATCTGTGCTCAGCTAGAACCCCTACAAGTGGAGACCTCCATGCAGAATACCAAGTACGACTGCGGTGTAGTTGGGGTCAGTGGAAAAATAAGATTTTTGATGGACTGTAGATACTGCTAAACTTTGGTTTCTGCAAGCACTGCTCAGGCTAATAAATAGCATTTGAATTAAATGATGAAGTTGTTCCGAGCAAGGACAATGTCAAACAATAGGTCACGTTACAATCATTAACATTTGACACTTACATTCATCTGAAATCTAATTTTCCTGTTTCCTTGATTAGATTCTCAGGAGATTGCCTTTTGACACAGTGGGTGCATCTAATGCATTTGTTTCTGATGGTTGCACTTACAGTCTTGTTCTGTGTCTCAGGATCTCATTTTCAAGTGCTCAGTGGCCCCAGAGTTTCAATGGGTATTCAGAAAGAAGGAATACTCTCTTTCACAAACTGCATAAGCCATCAGCTCAGTCTGGCCAAGCTCCTGGGAACTTCCCTCTCTATCTCCCAGTCTTGCCCGTAGCTGCATACTGTGAATTTGGGGCCCAGGATGGAATTAATCCTCCTCCTTTTTATTTAATCAATTAAAGGCAAGACAGTTAGGTGTTCATTTTGCATCACAATTTGCATTAGCGTTGTCTGGCCCTCGGCCTGTTGGAGTGTGGGAATATGCACATTTTTACTGTGTTAGCTCACTGTGTTTCCCATGGCTTGGGCTGGAAAGGGAATGAGAAGTGGCAATGGATCAACCTTGAATGCTGTTGTAAAAAGCTCCGTAAATGCTCAGATGTAACTAAATCATATTCTGTGAAATATCTTATTTCTAAAGTAAATTGTAAGTGTACCAAGGAAATACTTAGAGGGTTAGCTACTCCACTGGTTTTGGCACTGAAGAATTTGTACTGTTTTCCTCAATGCTTGGGATAGGCTGGTTTGAAAATGTTAATCTGCTTTTTAATTACACTTGATGTGTAAACTGATTCAGCAATATCCTTTTGGGCTGAATGTAACCTTGCCCAATACAATAACCAAGAGTGTTTGGTTTCAAACTTGATATGGAGATTAGGAAGCATTTATGCGCTTTCTCCTTTTTCTCCGTCCCCCCAGTCTTACACTTGATAATTATGTTTTCGTAAAAGATCTCTCTGCTATTCTTTCAAAAACTTCCCTTGGGTTTTTGTGTTTTTGTTTCTTTTTTCCTTGTAAAAGCCCTTCCCAGAAAGCTAGGCAGACAGCCTGGCTGGACCACCGCTTCTCATACTGACCTGACTTTGGCTGGTTTTTCACTCCTGTCAGTTTTCTACCTTGCCCATTGATCATAAATACTGTTGGGCGGGGATGGCCTGTGCTGAGACTGGGAGGCTGCTGTAATCCAGGCTGTTAAACTTGGGGTCACGCTGGGTCGGCAGCAGGTTGGTTGCCAGTTAACAGAGAGCAGGAAACAAGCCGTTGAGCCCTCGTGTAGGGGGACCATATGCCTGTAAGTGGAAATGTAACTGTGCCCCTTGGTGAGGCTTTAGCCATCGGTGAGCTCTGGCTTGCTGTGATGGACTAGCTCACTTTCCAACCTCAGCTGAATCTGTAGTGTGGATGCCATTATGGAAGCATCCCTCATTATCTCTTTACTTTAATCAGAGCCTATTTTGGGGGTGTTTTGTCATTCATAATACTCCTGGTTATGTCCCAAGGGGGAATGCTTTTGGTCTTCCTTGCAGTTTTTACCATGCCTGAGGTATCAGTACTTTAGATGAAAGGAAGGAATAAATCAAGCATAAACACCTGCAAATATCTGATTGGTTGAGGTGACTAATAGCATAGGATCATTCAGGGGTATATGAATCATGCACCTTATTGGAGGATTTATAACTCTATTTCTAATTTAGTTTCAGCTAGAAATGGCACAGCTTTTTTTTTCCCTTGCAATTGGCTCACTACCAGAGTTTAGTAGTTCCTTTTTCCCTCTTTGGTTGCTGCTCTTTCCTAATAAATTGCAACTAATATTTCCATTTTTGTGATTATGGTTGAGGTTTAAGTAGCCATTGTAAAGAATAGTTTGCTACAAATGTCAGTGTAGGTGAAGCCATAAGCATTTGACTGCTCTTGCAATTGTTTTCATTTTGTGTATCTCCACCATCTGTGCTATTAGCACTTGATTTCCTCTTACACAGTGCAGCTGTGGTCTCCAGTGTCTGCCTTGAATGTGTTCCTGTGCAGAGAAGGTGAAGTGTGGCACTGGGAGATAACAGTGAAAATTTCAGTATAATTCAGTTTAGTAAGAGATGAACCGGGCAGATTGGTCCCGTGTAAAACCTCATCAGCTCTTCAGTTCAGAGCATATAAACATATGCTAAAAGTTAAGCATACCCAGAAGTCCTTCTCTCTATAGCAAAGCACTTTAAGCTAAAGCTCAGCACTTTGCTGAATCAGACCTCGCATTTACTGTAGGACAGATGGACTCATAAACATGTTTTTAAAGTTCTGAGGCAAGGGGGAGTACTTTGGTACGGGAATGCCACCTAAATGGTGAAAATTGGACTTCAAATAACTTTCACATGGGATATATTGATAATAACAGACTATTGCCAAGAAGAACTGACCCAAACAAAAATGTCTTCCATTTTCAGATGGTTCCCAAAAGACTATTTATGCCTCTCAGGTTGTGCAAGGGCAAGTCCAGGACTTCAAGTATGCCTGCTGTCAGTTTTAAAGCTAAGATTCATAGGATTAAAAGCAAGTGCTGCAGCAAACTCTGCCTTCTTGATGTGACCCAGATGGACAAAACACAAGGGAATCTGAGGCAACACGTTACTGGAAGAGGAATAGTCTCTCTCTAAGTTTTCCATTTTCTTAAATGCAGAAGGAAAGCTTGATGCAGGATGATAATTTACCAGATGGTCAGTGTCAGAAAGAAGCTCCCTGAATATAGGCAATACTGACACTTTCCTAAGAAAATCTGGCAGTTCTCCCTCCTGAGGAGTGATGTTGAGAATTTCCAATAATATTGACCCAATTTCCTTTGGTAACTCCAGTACTGAGGGAATCTAGAGATAGCATAGCATTGTATCGCCTTTTCCTTCTGAGGTCTTGCTCCATTTCTATGGATAACTCCTGCTCAGTGTGAATTAGAAGAATTTTTAGGTACCACTGAAAATACAGAACAGGATCTTCATAACGTATGGTAGAAAAAGATTTAGTAGTCCATTTTTTTCCAGCCCAAAATGGTGAATGTTGTTTTTGTGATACAATCTAGATACAGGAAATAACCTCTCTCCTTTTTGTTCAGCAAAGGCATTAAACACGTAATGTAGTTGGTGAGTTCCTGGTCGTGACTTCAGTCACTCACCAAGTGTTAGAAATCGCCTGTAGACAGAGGTGGTGTGTGGGGGAGAGTTACTTGTCTTGGAAGCCGTTGCTGCTTTGAGGTTTATGGTCCAGTGCTACAGATCTGATTTTCTGGATTGTTAAACTGCTGTTACAATTGGCAGATTCTCATACTAACAGAGTTGAAACTATGTCCTCAAGAGTGTCGTTATAATCTAAATCTGCATACGCTCCTATTTTTGGATGATTAATACTGGTGTAGATCCTACGAGTTCATAAAGCTAAACAGTGGGAGGTAACTATTTGCTACCCTGAATGAGTCCCATCTCTTTTCTTCTAGATCAGTTTATATAGTCTCTCTACTTAGTCACTTGGAAAAAGCCACTGTATTGTTTTTCTGGAGAAAGGGAAGAGGAGAGAATGACGTTTAGTTAAGCATATGTTTAAAGTTTAATTATGTGTTTTAATTATCATATACTCCAATCTAGATTTGAGTTACTCATGTGTCTTGTTGAAGCTTACCCGTGTTAGTTCTCGAGACCGTAAGCCCTGGAGCTCTGCTGGCACAAGCACAGAGTTTAGCTTTCTTGAAGTGCAAGCTCAGTTCACCTGCACAGATCCAGAACACTTTTTAACCTGTAAGGAATTAGACTCCAGAATACTTTTTTTTCCTCTGGGAATAGTTTCAGAACACAGAAACACCTGAAATTGTGATCAAGGCTTAAATCCTAATGAGAGCTAGAGGATGGTTGAGGGGAAAACAAAGTCTTGGGAGGCCTTTGTCTTCAGCTAAAATATTCTTAGAAATTCAGGAATGTGGAATTTCAGGTAATAGGGTGATCACTGAACAGCTGCAAGAAGAAAACTACAAGCTGCATAATTGACAGGTTTTCCAGGTGACTGCAGTGAACCAGGCAGGCTTGGGATTAGCCAGTAAAACTGCCCATGCAGGTAACCTGGTGACCAGTGACAGCAAGGAGCAAGACAAAGCTGCTTTCTGTCCCTTTAGAAGGCTTCTGGATGTGAGGAGGATACATGCGAGCACTAATCCTGGTAGCAGATGAATCAAAATCTTGGCAAAGCGTGTTTTATTCCTATCACTGGGCTGTCTCCTACAAGTTCCAGTGTCTGGTCTTTAAAAGTCCTTGGAACTTGCTGGAGGAAAATTTCAATTGGAGCTGAACACAGCATGTTATATTTTGAGGCTTTGATTATTCTGGGCCTGACAGGCTCATGGAGATTTCATTGCCTCTGGGCAACATCTGCAGCAAAGCCTTGTAACAAAAGGATTGAGTGGCCTCACAGGGCTCCTTGATAGCCTGTATTGCATTAGAAGGAAGATGTGGTTACGTAGTCAGGGTAATTAATTAGCATTTCCATAAGCAGTCACAAGTCCTGTTAACCTTGTAAATGCAGGAGGCAGGAATGAAGCACAGATGTGGAGGCTCTGAAGATAAACTCTGCATGTGTGTGTTCACTTGATTTTGTTGATGAGCTCCACTAAATTCTTTCAAGATCAACCTTAATTTAGCATGGCTAAGGATGCAAACACACCCAACATCTGTTCACGTCTCCATGGCAGCTCTTTGGCGACCAGTGTTACAGCAAGATCCTAAAATAAAACAATACAAAAAACTCTGCCACTCTGAAGGGGGAAGCTGTTGGTCAGAAATAAGATGTGGAACTGGCCAAGGAAGGATAGAGAGGTCCCTGGACTTTGCCTGCTTCAAATAGAATTTTAGTTCTGGTAATGAAAGCTGCGTCTTGCCTGCAGACCAGTTCTCATCTCAGATTTTCTGCAACTGGATGTCAGGTTTGCCCTTACCTGGCTGACAATAGTCATTCTCTTTCAGGGAGCTCTGATTTCTGGAGAAGTTTTACTTCTGTTCACCCCCCACCTAGTCCTCACTTCCTTTTCCCCTCTCCCTTGGCTTTCTCATTCTTTTATCCCAGTCATGAGGGGGACTTCTTTCCCCTTGAAGCACCATTGCTTTTTCTCCTGACTTAAGGCTGGTCCCCTGCAGAAATACACTGCCCAGTGTAAGTGGGTGTAGCTCCAGGTACCTCTCAAGAAGCTTGTTTTTCTGTTTGCTGGTCAGTTTGTACTAAGTGCAGGTGTGTATTGTGTTCCGAGTCACACCTCCTGGCATTTGTTAAATTGCAGGTGTACCAAGCCTCTGCTTCAGGAACCGTTACAGGGAAGATCCAGTGGCTGGTGCCCTGGTCTTAGAGGCTGCTTGTCCATAGGGCTGTTGTCTCATCAGATCCCCTTACTAATAGAGCAGCTTTGTCACAGAGATAAGAGGGAAATTATTATGGCAGCTTCATTCAGAATAATTCTGCTCGTGTTTCTGAACAAGGACATAGGAAATAAATGCCAGAAGAGGCCGTTCTTTACCCTAGACCTAGAGTTGGAAATATCTAACAAGAGGTGCAGGGTAGGACAGGAAGAGGACAACTCAACTCCCTTTTCCTTTGTTCCAAAGTCATTTGGCCAGGCTTTTCCCACGGCTTAAAATATATATAATTTTTTTTCTGTCTCTAAAATTGGGAGCCCCAGCTTGGTTAAAGCCCAGAACTCTTGTGTGTCTTTCTGTTGCCTCTGGCGCCACAGAAGTAATTGGTCGATGATATTAGAGTCTTGTAACTTTCAAAGCTGTATATCTTTCCTCTTTTATAAGCTGGCAACAGATGAATTTTAGGACCTTTTAAAAAAATTATTGAGAACTTTGGAGCCAGTGGGGCTCCTGCCTGTGCCTTACAGTGATCATGTAAAATAAATGTCATGTTAGCGCAGGGTGTAGAGGAAAATGGGAAGGGGACCAATAATGCCTAAGGGGTAAGAAAAGTTCTCTTGCTCTGCTGATGGGTTGGGCTGGGGGATTTTCTGATGGCACGTCTCCCTGCTGCAGCAGTCATCTCTGCTTGTCAGAATAGGCTGTTTCTAGCTTAGTCCTGTGCTCAGCAGAGCTCAGTCTGTTTTGTGGGTTTGTTTTTTTTCCAAATCACACTTGGTCTGATCAGTGAGACACATCTCTGCAGCTCTGCCTTCCACAGGGTTCTGTTTGTTTTAATCTCTTGAGCAATTTGGAAATGTGGAGTACATGTACACAAGCACAGGCTTGGAAATGCGGAAATACCACTGCGGGTTGAGCTGTCTCTTCAGTCACTTTTCAAGAATTACATTTTAGGTGTAAGCCAACCTAAGCTGTGGTCCAACATGTCTCGGCCATGCCCTGCTCTCAGTGTAACTGTGGCAGGACTTTTACTCAGAGATCAATGACAAGTTACTCCTTGAAATGAGACATTTAAAAATAGAACATGACTAGCTTCGGCCTCTGCAGCCTACACTGGTGCCACGACTGCTCCTGTTATTTGGTCTTTAGCAGCAGACCCTGCCACACAGCCAGCAGCACTGTGTCCCTCTATCTGTAAGGGCCATGCCAGGCTCCCATTGCTTGGTTGAACTCTGGCATCTGTCAGTTGCTCAGCAAATCACAGCATCACCACTAAACACCGATAAATGGGGAGGAGGAGGAGAGAAACACCTTGTACTTGGTACAGCTTAGTCATCTCCTATGTAGGAGAGACGTACCATGTACCCTTACTCATCCGCTGTGTAGAGAGGTACTATGTAGACTTACTCATCTCCTATGTAGAGGTTGGGCCAGACTTCATTGACATGAGTGTACTTTGGGCATCCTTTCCAGAAGAGTCGCTCCAGTTCAAAGGCACCTGGGGTACAGTATTCTTCATCAGGATCTACTTTGATTGCTGTGCATGCGTTTTTCTTCCCGGTGTTCAAACCTGCTGATGACATCTTGTCCGTGTAGTAGGTGCACTCGGGATGTGCCAGCAACTGGAATGCAACCCAAATAGAACGTTAAGAACAAAGCCAGCAAGTTCTGCTCCAGTTGTGGGACATTGGGAGCAGCTCTGGCCAGCTGTGATTGGGCTGGGCACAGTCTGAGATGGATGTACCTGCTCTGTGGCAGGCACAGACTTGCACCTGGGTTTCTGTCTCGCTTGAACTGGGCAAGGGATACTTTGTTGGACGAGCTCACCAGCAATGAGTGAAAGCCAAAGGTTTGTGATTGCTGGAGTTCAGTCTCCACTGGAAATTTGTTTCCTGGAAGACCCACTGGTAGGAATTTGTAGGTCTAGCAGCTGGGATCTAGAGCAGCCAGGGGAACGGAGTGGGGGAAACTTAAGATGTTACTTTATTATTGATTGTGAATCTCCTAAAGTCTTCTCCTTTCGTGATTTTCAGCAATGCAGGGAGATTAAATGTGTTCAGGTGAATGCTGAGTGTGCCTGCTCTACTCTTTCAAAACCTTAGTGCAGCCCTGCACACAGAACATGTGTGGGACATTGATGTTGTAATGTCTTCTTTGGTTTTCTTCTATGGATTTGTAAATTTCTGAAGGCAAAGCACATATTATTTTCCAAGTTGTCAGCAGGAAGCTGCTCATGCAGCTGATCTTTGGGCTACAGCAAACCTCTAGGAACTAGAATTTGGGGCTGGCTACATGCCTGACCTCCTATTTACCCCGTTGCCAGTTGTCCCTTAACCATCTTCCCCTCTCATCCTCTGAAACAGGTTTCCTTTTTTCCACATTGCCAGCCTTCTGCTGCAGACTTTGTCTGCCCCATCTCCCTCTTGGGTCTCTTGTTTCTCCCACTGGACTGCCTCATGTCTCAGGGCAGCGGTTGCTCTGGTCTCTCATCCCCTTGAAGGGAGAAGTTGAACCTTGCAGTTCTGCGGGAGACTTGTAAAAAGGAGGGATGGAGTTGGGCTTGATCTCACAAGGTGTGTGAATACAGCCTGCCAGAAATCCACCTTTCTTGAGGCAACAAATCCTGTAGTGACTGCCACAATTATTTTTTGTGTTGGCCACTGGTGACGTTTGTGTCCTTTTAATTACAGAAATCTGGCTAGTGCCTTCGTGCAGCTGTTGTAGAGCTCTCCTGTAAGCAGGATGACCATTTTTCACTGACATCCCGTGTACCCATGGGGTTTGTTTCCTCGGTTTGGGCTCTTTTGTGCCTGTCATGTTCTGTTTCTCCACAAAACTTGAAAAAGCAAAATGATTCCTGTTTTCCTACTCCAAAGCTAGGCAAGATTATGGAGTCAGTTTTTGTTTGGCATGTGTACACCTTTGTTCAAGAATTGGCTTGCTTTCACTGGCAAGGGGATCTATCTTCCAGCCAAACTTCCTAAAACATGATGATGATGTTTAGCTAAGTGGTCTTCTGCTGAGATTTGTAAAGGGCTCTGAGATTTCCGGCTTCTAGCAAATTTACCTTGTGCTGGGTCTTGTGTGCCTCTGAGCAGCACCAAGTCCCATCTCTGTGCCCCCAGTAGCCATTCCCCGGGAGAGCTTTTTTCCTTCCCGTGCCAGAATTATGCTAATTCTATATGCAGACTCAACAGCGTAGATAATGTTAGATTGTCAGAGATACAAATCTAACACAGTCTGGCTTTGGGAGAGAACAGGCTGTTATCTAAAACTTGATAAGAACTGCTGTTTGTCTAGTAAGGAATTATCTCAACTGAGAGCCTGGTGCCTTGATGCTGAAGAACTGACTTTGCTTTTATTCACGTCTCTCTAAGGTGGGAGGGGAGGAAGCAAGGGAAGAGGAGAAAGCAATGTAAACAGTAATCACTCTCGGTGGCCACAGCGCATTGATTTGTTGCACCAATAGTCCTGCTTGTAGGCTGCAGACCTCAAAACAGGGCAATTACATCTGCAAATGACGGTTTGTGGTGCTGCGACACCGTCTCAGTTTGAAGCTTGGTTAGCACTCTGAAAGTTAGACCTCTGCTGAGAAAGACTTGTTTCTGTCTGTCCTGGGAAGCCATATGCTCCCTGAGCTTTCAAGTGAGCTATGTTCTTTTATGCCTTGCCAATGTTATCTGCTGCAGGGATTTTTAAATTGAATTAGAAAGCACAGGAAAGCATCAGTTGAAATTCCTCTAGTAAAATATGTTTTTCAGATTTGACTCTAGATTAAGTAAGAACTAACAGAGTTTAACTAGGAAGGGAGGGGAAAGGGGGGAAAAAGGGGTTGCCTTGCTACTTGAGCTCTGGAATTAATTGCCAATGGAGCATTTGGTTGTGGGGAAAGAGATGGAAAAGGTTGTGTCTTTCCTGGAACCAAAGATGTCTAACCTTATCTCGTACTGACTGCTCTGTGTATCCCAAATGGAGCTGAGGGAAGAGTGTTCTCTAGGCCTGCCCTCTTTGATTGATTGATTGATTTATTTCAAGTGGACCAGATTATTTTTTTGGGAGGTGGTATTTCTTAGTGGTTGTGGATATAAGGATGACTGCTTGTCTGTATAAGGATGACTATCTAGCACAAGCCCAAGCAGGGAAAGCTCAGATTTCTTCTGCAGCCCTCTAGGGAGGGGAGATGGTCCCTTTCAGGGTGTTCGCCCCGCGCAGTGGGACAGCAGGCAGATTGCAGAGTTACCCCTGTGCAGGCTCGTTGGAGCAGTGTCCCACCCCTTGCAGTGCTTCGTTTGGGCTAAAATGCTTTGCCTTACAAACTAATTAGTGCAGGCTGGGTGATGTACCAGCGCAGCTCTCCTGTACCAGCTTGGCAGTCGCTTCACGGCATCACGCTGTGCTGGGGACACACGACCTTGGATGTGAAAGCTCCCTGGAGTTGGGATGGTCCTTGTGTGCTTTGCGTAAGGGACTGTGAGTCCTCCTTGCTCCTGGAAGTGCTGCTCCAGCACAGGGACAGCCTTTCTCATTTTACGGGGGAGGGATGATGAGAAGAGGGAACTGTCCCAGAGAGGTTCTCCTTGGCAGGAAGGTTTGAGCCCAGCTTCGGGGCGTAGCGAGGAACATAGTAGCCCTGCACTGGGGTGAGCAGTTCCCTTCCAGGAGGCAGGACAATGTGTGGCTTGTCCCCCTCTTCTCCTGTGCCCAAGCCATGGTTCCTCCTGCTCCCTGCTGCGCTGTGTGAGGCCAGGGCTGGTCAGCACCCCAGCGCTGGGTCCAGCTCAGCAGGACTTGGGTACGATGCTCAAACCTGCGGGATTTCATCTGCCGAGCCCGGCATCCTGCGGGTTCTGCTTCTCAATCCAGCCTGTGACTGTAACGTGGAGCTGCCAGCGCTCACCAATTATGCTGTCATGGACTGAAGTGTATTATCGAACAAGGATGATAAAAAATTCAGTCATCTGCATTTTTATACCCTAATCTTTCTCTTAATAAATAAGACCAAAGTGCATGTTATCTAATGAATTTTATTTGTTAATCACTTGGATGGCTGGAATATTTCTCCCCCTTGGGTTATATGTATATAAATGAAAATATTGTTAGTGATTTCACAAAATGGTAATTCAGAATAATGGAGAGTTAATCCTCTTTTCATTAGCGAGCCACTTCAGGACATACACTGTGGCAAATTACACTGCATTTTAAGTCGTTCTCAAGTGCTGTGCACTAGAAAAAAAAACATTAAACTACTTTTGCATTGATAGAAGTAATTGTGTGGCTAATTTGGATAAGCAGCATGCATTAGGCAGAGCAAAGGAATCTCTTCTTTATGTTCACTATCCACTCTACAGCTGCCAAATGGAATTGCTTATGGAGCTCTTTAGCTTTTTTATTTTATTTTTAACAAAACAGGGAGGGAGGAAAGAAAGTGCAAGGAGGGGGGGAAAAAAGGGAAATCTGCCAGTCTATCTGCTTTTAATTCAGAGAGGGAACACAGTCTAGTGGCTGGAGCAGTAATATGGCAGTGAAAGATTTCCTTTCTGCACCTTGTGCTGGGTGCCTTGAACTACTCAAATTTAGACAAAATTTCTAGGAAAGCCCTGGGAAGTCACTGACCATAGTGGCTCATTTTTGAATTTGTTCAACTGGAGGACATGTGCCTCCTCTACCCCAAAATTTGTTGGGGGTTAACTAATGCTTTTGGAAACATCAGTCATGAGCCCTACAGTTTGGTAATCTCACAGATGGTGGGGCGGGAAGTTGAGGTTCATTTCTAGAGGTGAACGTCAGAGCTTTGGTGCTGGCGTGTACGTTTCTAGTGCTGGTTTTCCAGATGTGGTGGAAGTTTCTGAGTACTTTGAGACCGAAAGCCCTAAGTCATTATCTGCATAACAGAATACTAGGCTGCTTAGTATTTTTGGCTCAACGTGCTGTGCAAGCTTTAGTGCTGTGTATAAAGATGCAAACAATTTGGCAAGATTTATGCCTGGGAGTTAAGATCCAAGTCAGCTGTAGAGATTTTTCTTTTTTTTTTTTTTTTTTTTAAAAA